TATTTGCACACATGGTCATTAGTTTTGGTCTTTCCTTCAGTGTCTCTTCAAACTGCCTAGGGATGTTATGCACAGAAAACTCCAGTGGCCTGCTAAGATGGCTCAGATTTCCTAAAACGACTGGTTCTCTGAGGTAAATTAAATAGCCTTTAAAAGCCTCCCCCATTTTGTAGTCTAGTGGAACACAATTCAAATGCTTCTTGAATCTGTGTCTGCCAGGCTATGGTCCTCAATTTGGCTCAGAAAAACTCTTTTCTGTTCCTATTATAGATTTATTTAGTGATTATTTTCGTTGACACATTACTATTTTTTCACTCTTGGAAATCTGTCATATATTATGAATAAAAAGTTATTACTAGTCTGGCGTATTCATGTGAAGGTATCAGTCCCCCTTCTTTTTAATCATACCATGTTATTTTGACCTCAAACCCATCATTGCCTTTGTTTGCCTTGCTTATCAAATTTTTTCACCATGTTCCAAAGGTTAAGATTTGTCAAGCTAAGTTGATTGTGGCTGACAATTCTCAGTGCATTAACACTGGTCAATTCAATCAGGAAGTTTTATATCTTAAAAAGTTGCAAGAATTTATGTGAGAGAAATTTGAGCCAAAAAGTAAGAGTTGATGCTGTGAGTTTTGTTTCTCAACTTTTTACTCCACTGCTAGAGACTTTTTCTTTGTTATATGTTCCTTACATATCAGAATTCCTGCACCCTCCACCGCGTTGATGCTAACAATCTAGTTTGTATTTTTTCATGTTTTTCTCTGTGCTCTTACAACAGTTTACACATACACACACGTATACACATACAGGTTTTGTTTAGCAAAAAAAAAGGCTTATACATCTTTCTGTGTATCTTGGTTTTTTTTTGCTATCAAGAATAATTCATGAATATTCTTTAGGTTAGCTGATAAAGCTCTAAGTCATTCGTTTTAATGGTACAGTGTGTGGATGTACCATGATTTAATAAGCCTTTGTTCTGTTGATTGGCGTCCACTTTGTTTCCAGTTTTTCATCACAAGGAACAGTGCTGCCGTAAACTTCTTTGTACCACTGTCTTTCATACGAGTGCCTTTGTTTCTGTGGGAATCAACTTCTAGGAGAGGAATTGCTGGGTCAAAAGGTAAATGTATTTGTAATTTTGATAGACAATGCCAGATTGCTTTCCAACACTCTGCTTCTCTGCCAACTCATATATAAAAGCATTGTGCTAGAGGTTCTTTTAAAGACAAATTTTTAAATTTCTATCTTAATAAACTTCAAATGTTCAGTATTTTAAAAGGATGAGTTTTTACCTAAAATTGATATTGCTTTTCATTAAACACTGTTCAATGTAAGTTTTATGGATCCAAGCACTATAGTTGCTCTTAATTTTCCAACCTTATCTGCTCTAGCAATTTTGCCATCAAATTAAACACACACGCACGCACGCACGCACACACACAAACACACACGAAGGCAATTCATATTTTAGTGCCTAGCATGTCCACAGCCCTTTCTATTTTACAATTTCATTGATTAAGTTTATTTTGAAAATGTCAGTGGAAACTGGGAAGGGGATCACTTGAAACTTTGATCATCGATCTGTGCCTCACTGTGAGTTAAACTTCACTAACATGGCAGAGTATTAGAACCAAAGTTAGACTAAGATGAACCCAAGAAGTCATGTCAGGCAGTATCCTGTTTTACACCAGAAGAAATGAGGCCCACAAACATTCAAGTACTGAGATGACATGTTTAGCTGTTCATGGCACCAAGACTGGAGTACCTGCTTATTGACATTCTGTCCTAGGGTTCTTCACTGCGCTATGTAATATGATTAAATATGAAAATATTAAAGTTAGATAAAGCTCTAGATTGTAGAATATAGAACAGGGATGTCTTAGAAGGAGAACAGAAAGGATCAAAGCACTTGGCTGCCTTAGGAAAATTAATGGAAATAGAGAAGTGGGAGAGTAATGGAGAAGAGGCACTGATAACAGATTTTCTAGGTGACAGTTATGTCCTTGGCCAATGCTGCTGCCATATAACATTTTAAAACAGGATTAAACATATTGTCAAGACCCTCTCACAAAGTGAAAGTAGTATGCATGGTGGCCTTTCAAGGTTACATCCTTTCATCTACTTCCTATGACTGTTGTACAGCAGTCAGGAGGATTCTGCACAGTGCTTTATTTTAGCTTTGCTCTCATTTAGGACTCATGAACTTAATTACTTAATATTCCTTAAGAAACACAGCTTGAAATAATTACTTCATTAGAAAAATTTAGCAGTATTCATTTGACTCTCTTGAATAGATTCTTGTTCTAGAGTTGCTGAAGATTTTATTTGTCCTTTTATTCTGAATACAAACCTCTTCACCTTCACATCTTTTATAGAATTCTATTTCAAATGCCATTTAAGGAGAAATTTTTAAAAATTGCATGAAGTCATTTTGAAGGATGTTCCCTATTAGCATAAATCACAGCTTAAAAAGAGATGTGAATTATTAGTAAATACTATGTGGTATATGGTAAAATAATAAAAAATTGGCTTTAAAGAAGTGATTTTGATTTCATGATTAATATATCTAATAAAATTTGTTAAATAAATTAAAATGATTGCTAAGCTAGAAATTCTTTAAAAAAGAAATCTTTAAAGATATTTTAAATAAAACAAATTAGGCTTAAAATTAGTAACTAGAATAGTCAAAGAAATGTGTTTAAAATTTCAAGATTAAATACTACATCATGTTACTCTATTGCTGAAAAATCTTCAGTATTACTTACAACCTATGGGAGAAAGTTTGATTTGTCCAGGCAAGCTTGTTTCAATATGTTCCTTTAAGCAAAACTTACACTCTAGCCAGAGGGCTTTACTCAAACTCATTGCCCCTTCCCTCATTCTGCTCAGGCTATTCTCAACATGCCCTCTGCCACTCGATCCTGCGTGCACTCTGCTGTTTTGCTTTATTCCTATCCATTCTGGATGAAAATCCTTCTCCTCCCATGATTATTCATTTCAAGGTATTGCCTCTGCCCTCTGAATCTGCCTATTACCAAATGCTCTTACCACTCAAGATTTATAAAATATGAACTTATACTCTTTTCTTTCCTGTTATATGAGTTTTATCACTTTCAGTCATATTACAAGCATCTTCAAGGTAGAGACTAACTGTCTTATATTTGATTAAGAGTAGACTCTCAAATACTTACCAGTTTGAAATTTCACTGTCAAGTGATCCTATAATATGGAAGGTAAATGAAAGTAATTTCCATGTACAGCATGTTAATGAGTTTAAATATTGATCACTGCTTATACTGTTCTATTAATAAAAATAAGGAATTTTAAATGATCTACACATACAATCACAATTTTGTCTAGATATAAAGATGACATTCACTTCATGAGAAATATTAGAAATATATACATATATGTATATGTATAATGTTAAAAGAGATCATATTTGAGTGGTAGAGCTGTAAAGATGAAATATGCATACAGTTACATTGAAATCAATAAATCACTATAAAAAAACTACAGACTATTATTTGATACTTTTCTTTGGAGTTATTCTCCCTTTTCAGTGATGGTATTAGATGTATTCTGTGTACTCAGCTAGACTTGTCACTTCTGTTTCCTGTTGTTTGCACTTAACTCTTTGGGGGAGAATTGGGCTTTCGGAAATTCTGGTGAGCCCAAGGCTGTGATACTGCTTAAGCATGCTGAGCCCTGATTCAGCTTTCTTCCCTAGGATGGAGATGTAGCCTGGATGTGGAGTTAGGGTCAAGGACCAACAGAACCAAACAAAGGTTGTAAACATTTCTTTAACCAAAGGAACATAAATAGTTTGAGCAACGCTTTCTGAATAATGATACAAGCTTCAAGAATAAAATAATGGTAACAAAAGAAATTGAGCTTTTTGGAATCTTAGACTACACTTTGCAGATTTGCTGGCAGATAAGCTTCCCCCTGTTATTGATTTAGGGGCCAAAAAAGTAGAATTAGGTTATATATGCTCAAAATTATCATATATAATTTTCAAAATACATAACTCTGATTGAATTTGAGTTCATTGATGAGACTGATACCCTAATGGCTATCTTTATATGTCCCAACCTTCATTCGTAGAAACAAGGCTTCCTTGATAGTACACACACATGATCAATGAAGAGCATGATGAAACTTAATTTCATTTATGCTAGACAATACACTTAGATTCTCAGTATGAAACCTAATAAAAGACTATGAAATTACGAATGTGCCTGTCTAGGCACATTAAAAATTATTCAGAAAGGGGAGCAGAAATGGGGAAACTCAAAAGAAGCTGACAGGGTATTTAATGCTAGATACAATAATAAACAACCATACGATTTCAGTCACTTAATGCAAGGTTGACTTCCAGGTCACAGTCCAATGTGGGTTGATAGGGAGGTTTTTGCTCTCTACAAATTTGAGCAGCCAGGTTCTGGGGGCACCAGGAAGAGAAAAAGAAAGCCATAGAAGAGAAGGTACACCTGCTCTTTATGCTCTGGTCCACTAACTTAACATTGGTTAAGCCTATTAAATGACTTGCAATATATTTAACCCAGGGAGAGGAAACTGATTGGTGAACATTAATTAGTCTCTACCATTCCCATGATTCATTCTAATAAATACCTTTTTCAAGTTAAAATAATTTCCTGACAGTAAGCAAAATATTAATTTGAAAATTTTTCTCTGAGGAAAATTATAAGAAAAATGCAGACATTTATGGAGATCATTTTGGTTTGGAGCATTTTGGTTTCCGTTATCCGATGATTTCCAATAAAACTGTAGTTAATATATTTGATGTTGTAAGAGTATTACATTTTAGAGATGCTCTGAAAAAGATGAACTTTAGCATTTTAGGAAAAGGCTAAACATAAATGTATTATTCAATAAAGAACAGCTGACACAAATTATGATGACAGCAGATAAATGCTTAAATCTTGGATTAGATGATCAAACTTTAACAGCCAACATTTAATAACTGTCTCTCCCACTGAATCTCAAAAGCACTCTATTAGCAAACATGACAGTCCAATTATTTCCATGGTGCTCAGTATTTCATGGTGGCCTATTGCCAGTGGTAGAGTATGGGGTGGGAAATGAGCCAAAGTTAACTGATTTTAAAAGCTAAAATACTGCTAATGCTGAAAACTCAGAGTTTATGTGAGGTTAACTGCCCTGACCCTGTTTAAACTTATCAGATAAGTAAATACATTGGCACCTACTTAAGTAATAACTCTTTCTTAATATTTTGCTGAAAAAATGTAAGTCAGTCAATTTTGCTACAAAGAACATGTTAGTTAAATTTACATCACTTAGAAGGGAACATTTGTTTTATCTATCACTACAGAATATAAAACAATTCAAAAATACATCAATAATCCCTTATACATTGATCTGGTCTACATCACCAGATCTAGAGTATAAAAAAATTTACCTTTCAATACAAGAAGGAAAAATGGGAAAATTGGATAAAGTACAAAAAATATGTCTAGCTTTGAATTGTAGAGAATTTTTAAAGTCAGATTTCCAAAATGACTGTTCCACTTTTCATTCTTACAAGAAAATGTATGAGTCCCAGGTGTTATACTTCCTAGCCAACCCTTGCATTTTAGTATCTCCTGAGGTTTTAATTTGCATTTTCTAAATAACTGATGAGCATCTTTTTGTGCTTAGTTGTCATCTGTGTATCTTATTTGGTAAAGTGTTTAAAATATTCTGTCTACTTTATTAGGTTATTTGTTCTGTTATCATTGAGTGGTTAAAAATCTTTTTATAATTTGAACACAAGGTCTTTTACTAGATAAATCTATTCTCCTAGTTTGTGGCTTATCTTTTCATGTATTTGGAAGTGCTTTTAAAGAGTTTTTTCTTTTTTCCTTTTTAAATTTTGAAGAAGTCTATAAAAATTATCAATTTTTTCTTTTATGGCTTGTGGTTTTTGTGTGGTAACAAATGTCTGTCTAATGAAAGGCTTCAAAAATTAGATTAACTGTTTTATTTACAAATTAAATATTATGTTAAAGTAACAATCACTGTGTACCATTGCCTTTGATATCTATGATTCTGCAGCCCAGATTTCCTCTTGTTATTTCTTTTTTTCTAGACTAAATCCTTGAAGATTTTAACTTTTGAGTCATTTTCAAGCTATCCAAAATAGTTTCTTATGAAAATATTGGTAATTTCAATAACCAAAAAGATGATTCTTCCAATACTTTGAAATCTCAGCTCTTTGACTCATCTTCCTTCAATGAGCTCATCCTCTACTCTCCCTTAGCTATCATGGTCCTCTTCCAAACTCTCAATTTTAAGCATTTTACTTAACTGCTAGTTCTAATCTCACCTTCCTCTCCTGTGTACTCCAAATCAAATCCTTCAACACAGAACATACAATCAGTTGATCCTATCAACTGATATCTATCATATCCCTCTCTTGTCTCCTACTTCCTTCTGATCTAGCTTAATTGCCATGGTCACAATATTATAATAATTCACTTACATATACCATCAACTCCCTTGGTCCTCCCTGATTTCATCATATTCTCTTGCTAAACCAAAACCCCAGCTAAACCCTATTTACTACCTACTCCCTTGCCTGCCCCTTCACAGTGAAATGTGACTGGAAAAAAAACATAACTTTGCTAACTGTCTCAAGACCATTAAATCACAATTACACTACATTTTCCTAGTCTATTCATTCTCCCATTATCCTTAACAACTATTTCACTTACTCTTATCTATCTCCTAAAACCTACCAAAGTTTTTAACGTCCTAATTCTAAGCTGATGACCTTGTTACCTATTTCGCTGACAGAACAGTAACTTCTAGAAATGTCCATCCTGGGTCTGTGCCCATTTACACTGTCTCTTCTTCTGTTACTCTGAATGAAGTGTCCATATTCCAGGCAAAGGCTAATTCCAAGACTTATTAACTAGATCCCATTCCCCTACAATTTACTCATGACATTCACTCCAGCATTTCTCTTCAGCATCATCAGTTTTTCCTTCTTTACTGCATCATTTCTACCCACATATAAACATGTTTCCATTTCTCATCTTAAAAAAGTCTTTTGATCCCATGCCTCCTCTAGTTTACCACCTGCATTCTTTTTCCCTGTAACAGCAGTAGTCCTGGAAAGAGCAGTTTCCAAAATCTTCCCTCTCAGCATCATTTAAACATGCTCCAAACAAACTTTTGCCCTCACTACTCCATCAAAACGGCTCTTATCAAGGTCACTAAATTCAGAGGTCAGCTCTCACTTACCTTTATAATTCTATTTTCAGTTTTAAAATTATCTACCTTCCCAAGAGGGCTGTGGACTCTTTGAATGGAGATGCTGTCTTTCCTTTATCCTACCTTGAATATTAAAAATATTTCATTATATGTGTAATTCTCAAAATATGTCTGTATAATGAATGGCCAAAGCAATGTCCTTAACACATTGGAATTGGAAAGTCAAACTAAAGCACAGCATAATTTAATAATCATAAATTGAGGAAGAATCCTGTAGAAAGTTTAGATGAATTTCTGAGGCTTACTTTACCTTCACAGATTCTTTAGATGCCTAAATATCAAAAGGAGGCATAACTACGAAAATGAAACTTCAAAAGTAGATATTCAAAGATTTACATATGAACATTTAAATTTTTCACAGATTTGTTTACATTGTATCATAAAATGTAGTTTATTATAATAAACCCTGTAAAATGTATAAGGTACTCCTTCACAAATTAGAAATAAGTCTTAAGGACTTATATTTTAAATAATTAAAAACAAAAGTGAGGCAAGACAGGGCTGTATTTATTTCTACTCTAAAGAATATTCTTAAATCAAAAATAGGAAAAAAAAATTCACAATGGCAATTACAAAAACTACTATATTTTACATTTTATTTCACCAAATTGCTAGGTCGTTGTTCAGATTTGTCAAGTGGAAAATGAAAGCTTTCTTGTTCCAGCTGAAGTCACTTTTCCAAAATGTAATATCTAGGTCTTACTTCAATTTCCAATCAAAATCACCAATGGATATTATAAAATTAAGTTATAGCTCTTCTCTATTTGTATTTCCAATTACCATGTAAGAACTTTTAAAAAGAAAGAAAGCTGCAACTTTCTCAGGACCAATAACTATAACTTAGAAACAGAATGGGAAGAAATGGAACCATAAACATGTATTACAGATTCTGTGGAACAGCTTTTCAAAATTAAGTTTGAAAGTAGACAAAACTTGATGTTTTGAGTAACCTAGGGCTCTGTCACCTAACTCATATCAGCCAGAGCTAAAGTGAGCAATATGTCAAATTAACCTGCTCAATTTCCTTTTCTCAATTTTTTCAGTGCCCTTTAGGAACACCATTACGAGAAGCTATTGTTGACATTTACAGCATAAAACCTGATTTTGGAAGGTTGATTTTGCAGTTGCCTAAATATCACGAAACTAAAAATTGTATGATACCAGTTGTTTCATCATACTAAAGGAGAAATGAATTTGTGGATAAGCCATTTTTGGTTGAAAAGAAAAAAAAGCTTCAGAATGATTTGAGTGGTTGACTTATATTTAAACATAAGTAATGAATATAAAACAATCTCTACCTATAATTTTTAAAACTTGTTTATAAATTAATTGAAATTAATATTTTGTGTCTTATCATTCATATATTAAATGTGACAGTTATAAGGAAATAGATCCTAGCATACTGTATTAATCTCATTTGGCTGGGCCTTGTATTTAAATAGAATAAAACATTGTTAGTCATTTAAAATAATTTGCAGATCTATTCTCCTTAACGTCTTCAAGTTCAGGACAAATTAAACCTATCAGTAAGGAATATGCGTAACAAATGAGAGTCAAATGCTTATCAGTATGAAATAACCAATCTATTTTTAAATGAACCATGTGGAGACTACATTTCACACTGAAAAATTATAAATTGAAATAGGTATCAAAAGCAATTCCTAGAAAAACAATTATGTCTGAGGACAATAATTTTCATACTACTTGCTATGATAAATATCATTTGTTCCTCCGTATGTAAAATAAGCAGTTGTGGCTTTGTCTATTTTCTTTTATATGTGAAGACATAAAAAATGAGGAAGACAGTTATCTTCCTTGTTTACATGGACTCCCTCTCGCTGGTCAAACAATTACTTTTACAATTTTGCTGCTACTTTCCAAACTCATTGAAAAAAATGTTTTACTCATCTAGGGAAGGAAGAAATGTTAAGACTAACTCTTAAACACAAAGAACTATAAGACAGATCTTATTCTTAAACAACCTTATAAAACAACAAACTTAGAAAAATGAATTCACTTCATATCACATATTGAGCTGATACATACTTGAATATATTATTATATTCAAAACTCTCAGGAATGATTTACAATTTACAATATTGTATATTCACAAAGCATATGTTGTTATGGACACAGATAGAAAACAGTCAAGTCCATTTGTTTTCTTTAAAAATAAATAAAACATAAAATTAAATTGTGTGTTCTATGATCTATGTGCTTTGCACTCTAATGTTCCGCATGTCTCTCAGCAGCACTGGTCGGTAGTTTTGTTCCAAAATTTCCATATATTCAAAGTAATCACTCACTCGAAACCCATGCAGTGGTTCTTCCTGTCAAAAAAATATAAAGAGAAGTTCATTTGCTTTGGTAAAGACATGCAATTCTAAGTTAATGAATTTTAAATAGTGGATGTATCATTTTTTGCAGCTCTAGATGGCAGTTTCATGTTGCTAGTAAATGTGCAACTGCTTTTTATTTAGTAGGCTATATGTATATGATAGCAAGAAATCATGTCCCTGTGAAACAAGGTTGTCTGTTTACAAAACCAAAAAAGCTTTAGTGCTAACAACAACAACAAAACCAAAATCTTAGATAATGAAATCTTCCTAATATTTTAGATGTAGTAAAGTTTCAATTATAGAATGATTGTTCACATTTGTAACTAGTAATGGCTCTAAAGCTTTTCAAAGGGTACCATAATACTGCAAGAAATATCTGTTCTACAGCTATTCATAAAATCTCCAACAGTCTGCAACTCATAATGTTGGTACTATGCATGTCTGTACGAATTTGGAATTAATGGTTAGTGTCCCAAATGAGGCACTCAAGAATGTAAAACAGTAGGAGCATCCATTCTGAATCTTAGAGACTTTTAGGAAATTTTACGACTATTCCTTTTAGCATTTTCAAATACTAGCTATGCAATGCTTCCCCTTCAAAGTAACAACAACAAAATTCTGCAAAAGAAACATGATCCTTGACTCACTGTAATGTATTATGTTAGAAGTTTGAGAGGTTATAAGGAATTCTGTACAGTTCATGCTTTTCTGGAGATTATAGTTTTAAGGCAAAAGCTGCTAACAATAAACAAGAGCAATTCAAAAGATCAGAAGATAATATGTTATCATACACCAAATATTATGTTAGAGACAATCAGTTTGTAGATGAGAGAAATCAATGTAAGGTAGCTAGGAAAATGTCACAAAATTCTCAGGAAGAATGAATGTGTTCAAGGGCCTCAGATGTCACTAGTCTACACTTGAACTTCATCGTTAAAACAAGTAATGGATGAAGTGAACAGAGTTTGAACAGATACCAAATTAGATTTCAGTCTAGAAAAGTGTAGCGTAAAAGAACTGTATTCATTAAATGAAACAAAGCTGCTAGAAATAAAACAGAAACAGTGTCATTGTGCTCCCAGCATGATCGGGCCATGGCACAGACAGGAAAGTAGACACCAAAGTTGCTGGCCTCAAAACCACGCTTGAGTCGCACAAGCTTGATATTAAATATTTAACAGGATCTGTATTTATGTGCCTAACAGTAGCTCTGGGATTTTATTTCTTGTGGATATAATAAAGTGTCTTTTAAAGAGCAACCTCCCCCCAATCATTTGTACGAGGTTAGTAATAGTTCACAGCTTGCAAATAACTTGGGAGAAGAGTACACCTACTTGCCACATATCACCTAAAATCTGGGTAATTTGGGGGAAAAGTGAATTGGTACTTAAAAAAAAACTATTACTGATTTATAAGGCTGATATTATAACTAAGGAAACCAAATGATGTTAAGTTATATGGATAACATTACACCCTTAAGACTAGAGCTAAAACCTTCCAACATAACAATTGGAACTCTACTCTTCATCTTTAAATAACTGTGATATCCATTTCTTCATTCATTAATTCATTGATCCCCTTATTGTATGTAAAGTTCTTGGTTATATACTGAAGACACAAAGATGAATGAGAAAGTCCTTGTCCTAAAAATTAACAGCTGAGGTATATACTGTATCTCCAGTTTTAAGTATAAGCAACTGAATCAAAGGGAAGATGTTCATCTTATGAATAGCAAGAATACTAGGTTTTTGTCAATTTCTCTCGTATCAAACATATTTCACTTTGTTCTTTGGGGAAGAAATAGGATTGAAATAAGACCAGTATTACTATTCAAGAATTCACTATAAACAGTTATTGTGATAGTCATGGAACTATTTATGAATTTATCTATTCTCTTCATCCAAATTACTTGTGATTTGGCATTAATCACCTCTTCACTAAAACTATACTTAAGTTGGAAAGGAATTATAGTAATGTGTCATACTAACCAGAGGGGGAAAAAACCTTGTGCCAAAAAAAATGTTTTAGTACATATTCATGAGTTTTAGAAGAATGCTTGTTCATTAAATGTGAATTACAATAGGAGATGATGGTATTTGAACAATAGCTCTAATAATTCTGGGTGAAAATAAGCAAAATATATTTTAATATATTTTAATTATTGTTCCACTTTAATTTAAAAATAAAAACTACCTATAGAGAACCATAGCTTTTACTTGGTTTAAATATTTTTTCCTGAGGACATATTTTTTGAATTATGACTTCCATCTTAGACATTAATTTTAAAATAAAGAGAAAATACTCTGATAACTATACTGAAGGGACACCCATAAAAATGGCAAATAAGGCTATTAAGGTCTTATTTTATAAGAGAAAAATTAAATAGTCATTTAAATGGGATGTTTTTAAATGCTATAGTTTATTATTTAAAATTCACAGGCAATTTGAACTCTGAATAAAATTTCAGAATCTCTGAATTCCACTTCACTTCAAAGTGGAATATTTTTCATTTTATCATAAGTGTTCTCTAATGGCCTTTTTACTGGATAACTTTTCCTTGTAATTATGACCATTTAGACAGCCAGCTTATCATTCAAGTTATAAAGGACCATTTCCTCAGAATACTGCTTTATTATCATTTCATTTATAGATCTGCATATATTGGACTCTATAAAAATATGAATCCCCTTATTCTTTAAATTGGTAGACATGTCATTATATAAGGTAACACTATCTCATTTTATATAAACAGTGCTCTATTTGCTCAAGTTTTGTTTTTTCACTAAGTCACTACTGGAGTAGTTTATGTCTTGATTAAGAAGTTCATTTTGAGCATACCGTATTTTCTTTTCTGTACCTAATGGCTTTTCAACCAGTATACCTTCAATGATTTGCTCTCTTCATTAAAGTTTGGTTTCGAATGATAAATCATCAAAAAGCATTAAAAATTACCATCCTAAGCCACAATGCTGCATATGTGTTCAATATTACATGATACGGCATACACATAGCTTCTCTCTCTCCTATGTGTACAGAATTTAGTTTCAAGTATGTATCCACTGGTTTTATTTTACTATCAAGAGTATTTAATTAAAAGATCCACTGAATTTAGGATTTTTTTAAAAAAGGGAAACAGACTAGTCAATGACATTCTAGAAGAAGCACAGGATTTGGATTCAGACCAAAAAAGGGTTCAAACTCCCCTGTATTAGTTACTAGATGTATGAACCTGGGAAAGTTTAGATTCTTTAAGCCTTGATTTTTCATGTGTAACTGCAGACAATAATAACATAAACTGTGCTGTCTGAACTCCTTACCATGAACTATAAAGCCTTATGTCGTCTGACCGTTCTTACTCCCTCACCTTGTTCTGGCCACAGTGGTCATCCTGCACTTTCTAAGTGGTCCACGCTCATTCCTACCTCTGAGCCTTTGCATTTGTCTTTCTTCCTATTTAGAGAGATTATGCACAGAAGTCTTTGCATTGCTTTTTTCCTTTGCTTCACTCAAGTCTCTGCCTACCCCCTCAGAGTAGCCTTCACTGGACTCTTTATCTAAATAGCACCCCTGAATCTGACTGAGTCCCTTACAATATTTAATTTCTTTATAGTAAGATCTAGCAATACCTGAAATATTCCATATTTATTCACACATTATTTATCTACCAGTAGAATATGAGGTCAATGTGGCAGGGCCATGGCCTGTCTTGTGACTACAATGCCTGAAACACAGCTGTTACACAATAGTTGAATAAGTTGATGAGCAATGAATGGGCAATACCTGTTAATCCCTTTGTCCAGTGCTTGGCATTCAGTAAGCACTCAAGGTGTTAATGGTGGTCATAATAATAAAAACATTTTTATTAACATATGTTCTCTGAAATGGTTGAGCTAGATTGCTTTGATTGCACTGCAAATTTGTTAAATGTTAAGCATGGACAGGCCCATTAAGGATTATTGACTCCAGTCTCTGCTCTTCAACTCCTTACCAAAAATATAAGAGAACAGTTCACTTAAAATACTAAACTATTACTGTACTTTCTTGCAACTTCTCAAGAATATGCCTATTATGGAAATTAAGCTATACCTATAATTTCAAACATTATTTTTAACAAAGCTTTCAAAAACAATTTCTAGCAGAATGTTTTTACAGCTACTGCAAGCCCTGAAAATTTGGAATTTGAATTGAAGATAAGGCCTTTCAGGGTGGTAAAAAGATACAAAGCACAAAAAAATGAAGTACGCTACTATGACATGCCTTAGTTTTATGACTTCGGGACCAAGCTTAGGTATTTTCTGATATATTCTTTCCCAAATATTTAATTATTAATGCATTTAAAAGGTGATAAAAATATAATAGCTCTTTACAAACTACAGAGGAAAAAAGTAAGATATGTCACTTTGAGTGGATTAAACTGGAACAAAGAGTCAATTCTTATTAATAACCATCAGGAGGTATATAAAATAAGTTTACCACAAAAGGTGTAGGACTCAATATGCTCTGAGGTCACTTAAAGAATTTGTATTAATGTCAACTCTCACATAGGAAGCTATCTATCTATCTACATATTTTAAACATAGAAAGTTCACTCATCTAGCCCACAGACATTTACTGAGCACCTAGCACACAGCAGGAGTGGTCCTGGACACTGTAGGACAGCAATGAATAAAGCCCACAGACCTCCTGCCTCCCCGGAGAACTAATGGATATAAGACCTTTAGGTTGTGAAAGCAGGGGAAAAACACAGCAGGGGGAGCAGCAGAGGCCTGGCCTGGGAAAGTGCTTTTGCTTGGTTTTCCCCAGGGGGTTAGAGGCAGCTTAAGGAGAGGCCCTCAAAATCTGGGGGGCAGGCACATGGGGCTCCTCACCTGCTGCTGCCCGGCATCCCCCTGCACCTACCCTAACCAGCAGTGCCCTTCCCAGCCCTGCCCCTTCCCAGTCCTGCCCCTTCCTAGGGGGCTTAGGGCACTGCAGGATGGGCCAGCATTTCTGTCCATCAAACCAGCCCCTCTGACTCAACACAGGCATTAGGGGGCAACCCAAGGCCCCATGACCTCACCCCAAAGGAGACGGCCCCAAAGAAGACGGAGTTTTGGGCACTTAGCTCTGCTCTTCACCCTTGCTAGATGTGACCTTTTGTGTGTTGTGTCCTACCTATCACATGAAAAAGGACCTTCTTTCCTGACCAAAGTGGTAGAAATACCAACAACCTGCAAGTCATGTTTCTTCTAGTATGTTACTCCTGAGGTGTCTGGTCTAACTAAAAATTCCTGGACTCAATATCCCCTAAAACTGCTGAATCACTGGTGGGGCATTCTGGATTCAAGCTCCAAAGGTAACAGTTTTACATATTATAAAAGCTGCAAGCTACAACAACTGACAACTCAGGACTCTGTCATGAAAATTCTGTTTTAGCAGAACTAGGGAGAAATCTCAGTGCATCAGTTTTAATAAAGACTCTAGTGATCCTTAAGATCAGGATAGTTTAGATAGAGTGTATGGGTCTGGAGTGTATGGTTCTGGATAGAATATGAAGTTCTTAAACATTTAGGATAGGTTTTAACTCAGTTCAGGGGTACAAGGCATATGTGATAATTAAGGAGAGGATTCAGTTTTGGCTGGGTAAATGGGGGAGTAGGTCTTGATCAGATGCAATGTAAGAGACTGTTCCCGACACAGATCTGAAGTATATGCTGGGTATTACTATGATATTTTATAACACTACGATGTCACAAGAGCTGGAGAAAAAAAGTAGGAGCAAAAGTATATAGTCCAGCAAAGGACTCAGGAGAAAATCCTATTTCCTTTGTTGTGTTGTCTGCATATTTTTTCCTAAATAAGAAGAATGGAACAGGGAAATAGAAACTCAAATAATGGCTTTTTTTTTAACTTGAGCACTTGTTATGTGTCAGATAATGTTCTAGAAGTATTTTACAAATATCAGCTCATTTAATTCCTCAACAGCTCCAAGTGATAGGTATTACTTCACACCCAATTAAACAAATGGAAAAACTGAGGCATAGAGAGGTTAAGCAAGGTGCCCAAGCTTACAGTCAGAGGGACAGAGCCAGAATTTGACTTCAGATGGACTCAAATGATATACAGACAATGCAGAAAACATAACTGAAAATCATAGCTGACATATTACTGAGCATGTTGTATCTATTCCTTCAAATGGTGAATTATTTTTAATTCTATAAATACTTTGGTCTTTTAAAAACTTAGCATACAGTTGGTTTTTCTCAGTCTGATCTCCATTTCTTACCCTGTCAACATGTTCGGCTAAACAGAGCTGTAACAGCAACAACAAAAAAATCCCTCTTGACAGTTTACTGATGGGTTGAAATTAACCTGATTTTTTTTTCACAATTATAAATTGATTTTGCCATAATATGAAAGATTTAGTTGAAGCATTTTACTTAAGTATTTTGAGTCTTCACAGCCTGATTTTCACTGGAAGGTAATCTTTTCTTAGCTTGGCATTTCAGTGAAGTTTATCCCCAGGTTGAGTCCACAAAGTAAAACCAACATCACTGCTAGCCTATTAGCACGCAAAAAGGAATACAAGCCAGCTGGCTAAAACAGTGAGTCTTCTGAAGAACTATTAAACTGACCCTCCCTAAACCTGTTGCGTGTGTGTGTGTGTGTGTGTGTGTGTGTGTACATGAAGAAGAAGGTGAGAAGGGTGAAGGCAAGGCCGAGGGAGGGAGGGAATGCTCCACTAAAAACAAACAACAAAAACACAACTTTACACTTTTCAACTCTGTTGAGATACTGAGAATATTTATTTTGTTGGATGATGCTTCTGTTTCTGGAAGTTTGTGCCTATAGATTTTCTGAACCACTGTCTGTCACAGAAAACATTAGGTCCAAGGACGAAGCTCTTCAGCGTACCTTTAGAAGCTGCCGTCTAGCTCAGTACTAATCTATCAATCACCACAGGGTTGTTGGAATAATGTACTTAGCTGTTATTATCCAACCTCTATTTTTGTTATGTCTAAAAAGATATTGTGAAAAACTCAGACAATACACTTTGCTGAATAATTTATACCCATGGCATTCATCTAATATTTTAGTGATTTAATCAAATGAGGAAAAAAAAACCAAGTTTTTTTGTTTGCTTGTTTTGTTTTTAGTAAATCTGGGTTAAGAAATTCCAAGTCATCTTTTTAATATACTGATCATGAAAAACTGTTCAGTGGGCTATCAGAAATGCACGCAAAGAATCCAGACTCAATTACCTGATTTAAAATCTTGAGCCTAAACCAAAATAGATACAAAACAGGTTGATATTGTCTCTATTCTACATGCTTCAGACAGATTCTTATTCCTAAAGCAATGCTTTCATCATGTCCCTTTATGACAATATATGAAATGTAAACTGGGAAACGAATTGCATACTCTCAGTCTTCTGGAACCATCTCATTATCGAAAGTTTCTCAGGATAACTGGTAATAGTTGAAAACATAACATGTTTGTGGTTTTTCAATATTTTGGAAACTAATTTAATTGAGCCTGATTATTTGAACTTATTTACCATAGTCAGATGCTTCTTCTATCCATTTTTATATAATGATTCAATACACTCCTTTTAAAAAGTAGTTTTATTATAAAAGAAGTATGGGTTCATTCTTCAAAAATTATGAAAAAGCCCACATAAACATATACAATAAAAAGTCCCCTGTTCTACTCTACCTCCTCTCTCCTCTCAGGAGGAGTCATTATTAAATATGGAGAGTCAGGGAATGACACATAATCAATTAAGAATATTATCATGGCTGTGGTATGTAGTTATGTGGAGAATTATTATGAGCTTTTTTCTCTTTTGTACAGATCTGAGACTTTGGATCAGAAAGTATAAAAGATAATTTCCAAGGTTTAAACCCAATAACAATAGTATAATGAGGAATTTTAAAATTATGTATCTTTCTGACTTGGGGCATCTTCTGAGAGAAGGAAGAATAAAAACCACTTCCTTAATTGAAATTTCATCATTGGTTAATATGTGAATAAGTAAAAAAATAGTGTACATATATTTACATACTTTGCAAAGAAGACATTATAACAGAGAGCTTAATGCAGTAGTTACAGGGATATGTAAATGCATATTTAAAAAAAATACACTGGAATTTATCTCACAGAAAAATAACTGTCCATCAAAAGAGATCAGTGGTAACGTTAGTTTCAAGACAAGTGCTAAAATTAATTCTTTGCCCATGTTTTTTGCCAATTCAATTAAAATTTTAGTAATTTAAATAGGACTTAGATAGTAAACATAATCTTTTCTCCTTCATTTAAAAATTCTTTAGTTTTAAATTGATAGCATTTATGTCCAGAGCAAACAGACTTTGGTACATATTTGAAGAGTTCACCATTTGTAAACCCTATTATAATTTTTCCCTGTAGTGGTCAAGAAAGAGCTGAAACTGCAACAGTCAACATTAATCAGATTAAAGATGATTAAATATAAAGACATCCTTCTGATGGAAATGAAGATAAGTTAACAATTAGAAGAAGTTAGTAATGTTTGTTATTCAATGTGAATAAAACTAAGTTCATTCATCTTTCCATTTGTATTTATTTACATTCTTTGTTTACTTTATCACAAGTATTCACTGAGCACCTTCTATGTGCCAGGTACCATTTGAGGCATTGAAAATACATTAGTAATTGAGATAGACAAGATTATAGTCCTTGTGGAGCTTATACAGCATACTGAGAAAGACTGACAAAAACATATATAAAATAATTTCAGCCAGTGACAAACACTGTAAGAGAAACTAAAGTGGATAAGAGATTAGAGAATTACAGGTTAGGTGATATTTAAATGTAAGACTGGGGGAAATTCCGGACTCTGAAATCCCTGCAACTGATGAAATGTCCTTTACTGAAAAGAAATGGACATTTTGTCCTCAACATATTTTACTTAGCTATCCCTGTTCTCCAAATTTCCTCTTGCAGGTCACTATTTTTTTTTTCCCCTACCTAAATCTTCCTTCTACATGTACAACCACTGTCCTCTTAAATTTTTTTCATTAAGAATGTTTCTAAGGTCATAAGTCTAGTGATATATGTAGGAAGTTTGAGACCTTTTGAATTCAGTATTTAGGAAATAAAAATGCTCGATAGTTTGGCAATCTTAAGAGACCAATGACATTTATTTACAGAAAAATCATCAAGTGAAAAATAACTCTGATAAGTATCTAATGGTAAAGAATTAAGATAAAACTGACTCACTTAGACATTATTTGTCAACCTAGAAAAAACAAGCACATGACCAATGTTGGTTTTGGTGTACATGTGCGTATGCATTCATATCAGGAGGAGGGAAATTCAAGGAAATATTTTAACTTAAAAAAAGTTGGATTTCTGTCAAGGATCACCCACCAGGACGTATTTATACATCTTGTACTCCCTAAAGTCCAGAGCTTCAAAAGTCACACTATTGTGAGAAAGTAAGCAAATATAATTATATCTTGCTTTAAAATATTAACATATATATGGTGGTGACTTTTTAAAAAGTATAGAATATAAAGGCGTAGGATATTAAGTGTTTTGTAAAAGTATCAAAGTTATGTATTAACACAGTAACTTCAATTTTTATCCACCAAATAAAGCATAGGAATTTCCCCAAAACAATAAAAAAACAGGCCTTTTGGCACAGCATACTGGTTAAAGCAAAGTTTTCTATCCAGGCAGTTTAACTTCATATACCAGCTGCACTGCTCTTCAGCACCACTCTCTAGCTGTATAATCTTGGGCAACTTAACTCGGTGCTTCAGTTTCCTCATCTCTAAAATGAGAATGATAATTTCCTAGGTTGTTTTTAGGACCGCATGAGTGTCTAGAAAAGTATCTGGCATTAGGTACCCCATTAGAGCTGGCAATTAACTCTCAGCCAACATTTTTCCTCTAGAAATAAACTTACTTACTTTTAGGAACACCTGCAGATCTTGAGTCTGAGTGTGCTGCAGAATGTCTTGCTGTAGATGTTTGAATATAGCTATACAGATGTACACTTGATAATCAGGACCAAGGAAAACACAAGTAACAATATAATGGCAGATTTCTATCCAATCCAAATAATTCCAGAAACACTGAGTTATCCATTGCAGGCAAATCTAGGGAAAAAAAAAGTCAATTCATTAGAAAGCTTATGAAACTATATTTAACTTTTAAAAAGCAGCATCCAATAATGCACACAAAACCAGTGAAGAGCTTCGCATTTAATCAAAATAGAAAGACATTCTACGTATAAGAAGCCTAATAAGGATGCTTCACCTGTTTGCCTAATGTGTAAGAAAACTTTCATGGCCTTAGGACTCAGGACCTGGGGGTAACTGACAGTGTTCACATTGCTGATACACCTATTGCTAAATGCCTCCTTTATTCATACTATCCTCCTCTTACCTTCAATACCAGTCTGATCGCTACAGACAACAAATGCTGAGACTATTTTAATTCAGAGATGGGAGCTTTTTCTACCCTACCTATGATCACAGATGTATAATTATGCAGATGACAGATTGCTAAATGTTACATTAATGCAAATGGGCTCTTGCTGATTCAGAAAACAATTTAAACCAACTAGAATTACATAATATAAAAACTGAGCACTAATATAGAGAATAAATCAAAAATGAGACTTTTATAAAAATCATTTATCTTACTATTTGAATAATATTTTTCAAATTATAAAAGCAATACATGCCCATTATGGGAAAAGAAACAGAAAAGTTAAAAAAAACAGTAAGAATGACACAA